ATTGGGGGGGGGGGGGGCTGAATCAATAGCAGTCGGGGCCCTGAATGAATAATGCTCCCAATCGAAAACAAAAACTTGGGGAGGACATGTCCGAAACAAAGACGAGGTTCAGACTCGCCACGAGCTGAGGACCAATGGTCTATCAGCTCGTGGCTGAGGCTGGTTAGCTATAGCTGCGAATCGCGTGTGTGTAAACTAAGTCGTGGACCAGGTTAGCAGTAGTTTGTGCCAATTGATAATGAGTATTTACTTCAGATTCATATTAATTGATAGTGAATTCAATATTTAGGCAGCTTTAACGATCAAAGCATGCAGGCCGTTTCCGTCTGGCGTGAGACCCCGATAAACCGCACTTCTTTGGCTGGTAGGAAGCTGCCCTCCAATAAGCCGGCATAACAATTGCCATCAGAGAACGAAAAATACTAAACTATTCGCAGTAGATCATAAAATGTGGATTCCAAAGACAGGGAGGGGGATGGCCCTTCGGCATGGACGGCATTGCAGGTGCAACACGTGTTTAGAAGCCCCACAAATTAACCCCAAAAGGAGTATAAAAACGCCTCAGTATTCCTGAGGATGTTGAAAGGAAGGTGGAGGCCTTACGAGCTCCCAAAGGGAGAATAATTTCTAGCGCTGCTCAATTGCTCACTGCAGTCGAAACGCAGAGGTCGCGTGGTACTGGGCTTGTAGGCGTGGTTGCAGAGGAACATCAGTAGACGGTTTAGCAGCCTGTGTTAAGAGTAAAGAACACACTTATACTAGTGGATAGCTAGACAAGACCTAACCAGCAACAACTGGCGAGATTCTGAGGACTGAATCCTCTTCGGTGTCATCTGGTATAGCTGGGCAAGAACCTTGCTATAGCAACAGAAACAGGGAGGTTACCCAAGTTAACTCGAGGGGGACGGATATGCCTTAACGGATATGCCCATACTCGTAACATCGTAAACGATATTCACCTTTTTTAAATCCCAGACAGTCTCGGACAAGTGCCCTCTGCTGATGTAGAGGGGATGCCACAATTGTCCCGTTGGTCTGCTATGTGTTCAGCGCTGCAACACCACAGACAAGCTAACAGAAGGTTGCAACACCACGTGAAGCTTGAGAGCTAAAGCCCCATAAAGCACCAGATTGGGATTATACCATGCTATCACCCGTTGCCCTTGTGGACAGTGGGGAGGTGAACAAGGGGGAATACACATTTCTTTGCAATTTACAGGTTGGAAGCACGTGCACGGGCCGTGCCCGCACAATGGAGCAGAGGCACGACTGCAGCCGCACCAGCAACAACAGCTACATCCTTATTAAAGCCCAGTAGCTGATGCATGTGTACTCTGTCAGGAAGCACCGGTGCACCCCAGCCACGTTATTTATGCTATCGCTACCTTTGCAGAGTTAAGGGCTAGGGTTTCCGGTTCAATACTGCTGTTTTGTGCAAGCGGGATTTGAGAGGGTGTTATTCTGCTGTGACGGAGAACTCATGAATGGCGCGGTAAGATTGTTTAAACGCCTTTTGGCTTGTGGCGTGCCGTTGGCGTGCATACGCGAAGCAGTGGTTTCGCGCGCGCGTTGATTAGGAAGAATGCTGCGGATTGAGTTTGGCTGCTGGCTTTGAGCTCTTCATGCCTATTGGTTTCACCTTGGGTGCCTTTGACGCTTTAAATGCATCAAAGAAGGAAAATTTCGGATCATTTTCCCCTAACTTTGCAAGGAAGGGAGGATGCTAGTGGCGGGTCCTCTGCTGCGCCGGGACACCGTGCCGTTGCTTGAGTTCCGACATGGAGTGGAGGGAGGTAAAAATCGGTATTTACATGAAATATGGAGATAAAACGGACAAACCACTGGCAGTTGACTGCATGCTGGTTGAATGTTCAAAAGAACATGTTTATCTCAGCAGGTTTATGCCTATTTTGCGCGCGGCAGCCGCAGCCTTGCTCTGTGGGTGGTTGCTGCAACAGTAGGCAGGGGAGTCATAGAGGCGTTTCTCCATCTGTCTGTGCTTCTTTTTCGTTTTTTTGCCCTCAGACTGCTTTTATTTGTTTGCTAAGACGATTTTCAGCTGTTTGTTTATCATCTAACGGCTCAAAGCCCTCAGTCATAGGCCGCCGGTGTTGCTGCTCGCCGAGGCACCCGCAAGCAGCTGCTGCGTTGCAGCAGTTGTCTTGATATGGTTTGGCTGCCAATTCGGCTCATCTGCAGCTGCTTCTACTAGAAGTCGCATTCTAATCCGCTTGTAGCCAACACACTCTGTGTCTGCTCCTCGCCGCTTGCTCCGCCCGCTGGTGCTGCCCCTGCTGTGGCACCGACCACCCACCACTGGTGCCATTTGCAACCTTTTTTCCTTGCTGCACTGGCAGCATATGTTGGCGGAGGAGTATTATCAGTCAAAGGGAAACGGAAGAGTCAGCAGCAGCAACAACAACTGCATCAGCAGCTGCAACACCAACAGCTTCAGCAGAAGCAACACCAGTGGCGTCAGCAGCAGCAAAACTGTTGCAGCAGCTTGCTGCTGGCCTTCGTTGCGCGTGACCTGCTCATTTATTTTCTTGTTGGTCAGCGTATCCGTCTTCACTGCTGTTTCCGATCGAAGCCCGTTGTGTCTTGATTTGCCCCGAGTGTGCGAGTTTTTTCGCCAGAATGACAGCAGCAGCGAGCAAGAACGGCGCTGCAGCAGCGACAAGTGCAGCTACGGCTGCGGCTACAGTGGCGGCATGCGTAGCTGTAATGTGCGCTGTGGGATACAGGCCTCTGTGTCGCGTGCTGTCATGGATGTTTCCGGCTGAGTCCTGGGGGCCCGGCAAGGGAGTGGAGCTGGCAGTGCGTTTTCAGTGGCATATAATGCTTACCTGTTTGCTATACCTTCCTGCAGTATATATAGTGCGTATGTTTATGTCTGTGCGACCTGCGTACTCGCTGAGAGGCATCGCCTTTACTTGGAATTTAGTGCTTTCTTTGCTGTCATTCCTTGGGTTTATGACGGTGTTGATCCAGCAGCCGTCGCTGCTCACTGTGCCTGTACACCCGGAACGTCTGTTTACTCCTCCTGTACGTGTTGTAGTGGCTCTTTTTACTTTGACCAAGGCAGTGGAGTTCGGGGATACGTTCATCCTCGTACTGAAAAAGAAACCCCTCTCTTTCTTGCACCTCTACCACCACCTCACCGTCACGCTTTACTGCTGGTCTGCCCAGCGCACCAATGTGGACTTTGCCCACGGGTTTGTTGTTATGAACTTGGGGGTGCACTCTCTGATGTACCTCTACTACTGCTTGACTTGCTGCGTATCTGCAGCACGACCTAGCAGCTCCAAGGGGGCCAAAGATGCCAGCAGCAGCATCAGCACCCGCAGCACCAGCCGGAGCCTGCTGCAACAGGTGCTGAGGCAATCACGCCCAGCAATAACTCTTATGCAGATAGCTCAGATGCTAGTGGGGATGTATTTGGCAACGAAGGGAGCCCTCTGCCTCCATGATCAGCAGCAGGTACTCAACGCACAGATCGCACTGGCTATGTACACATCGTACGCCGTACTGTTCTTGAGGCTCTACTGCAGCAGCTACCTTCCCCACCTCAGCAGCAACCGAGTCTTGCTGCTCTTCCTCTTGCATGCGCTCGCGGCAGCAGGCGTCTACCGGTTGTCTTGCGCCCCAGACAAACTCCATCTTATCGCACATTGTACTGTGGCTGCTGGCTCCTCGCTCCTGCTGGCCTCTATCTGTAACGGCAGCAAAACCAACGAGAAAAACGCAAACAACAGCGGCAGCATTTGGCTGTCGCTGCTGCTCGTCTTCAGCCTGCCCTGCGGGTTGGCGGTGGCGGCGAAGCAACAAGAAGACGAACAGGCGGAGTGCGAAGCAGCTAAGACAACAGCTGCAGCAACAGCGGCAACACAGGGGGCCGCGGAAGTGTTCGCCTGTGGCGAGGGGTTCCCTGAGCGTTGCCCCTCACTCACTTCGACCTCAGCAGAAACAGCAACTCTTTCCTCTTGTTACAGCAGCTCGGATGACCTAGGTGCAGCAGCACCAAAGTGTTCCGCTGCAACAGCACCCGCAGCAGCGTCAAGGGGAGTGATTCCGTCGGGAGTTGAAAAGAGAAAAACAGCATCTGTGCGCGTGCGGCCTCGGGGTGAAGGCGCAATGAGGCAGCTAACTTACAAGACAGCTTCCATCAATTTGTCAGGGTGGCAGCTGGTTGCTGCTGTTGCCGGTGCTGCCGCACCTGTGGTATATGGGCAGTTCATCAGCGGCCAGTGGTCTGTGGGTTTGTGTGTGTTTGGAGGACTGCGTTGGGCCCTCGAGCTACAGGCAGCCCACCACTTGCGCCTGACTGCCTAGTCGCCAAGCTCTCAGCGCAGCTGCAGCAGCACTGGCAACAGCACTTGTCTCCACAGAAGCTTTGCGGGCACAATTTGTTAGCAGCAGCAGCCGCTGCGCAGAACCGCTCAGTGGAAGGGGGATCATGTTGTTGGTTATGTCGGTGCACCAGCAGAGGAAGCGCAAAAGCTGCACCAGGTGCTGCTATGTACAGCGTGCAGCAGCGGCAGCATATCCGCTCGCTCCGTTTGGTTAAAAATGTGCCCTTGGCAACACTGGTAGCCACGCAGCTTCGGCAGCTGTGCTACTGATGCTGCAGGTGCTGCGACTTGGGCAGCAGCATCACATCAGCAGCGGGAGTTGCTGGTCTGGTTTTAGGTAGTATTCCATACGACCAATTTAACAGTCAGTCCATTGATAAGAGATACATTAGCTGTTTCTGGTGCTGTTTGTACTACTGCTGCTGCTAGCTGTTAGGTGTAGGCGCGTATTAGTCGCTGTCTGCATGCTGCCCTTTCTACTCCGCAGCTCGCCGAACCAACTGTAAAGTAACCGACACACTGCAGGGAATAGCCCGCTAGTCGTACCGATGTATCCGTTCTACCCGTTCCGCTTAGTACGTTTGACGCCCCCATCCTCGTTTGCTGTAACACCTGTTTTTGCTCCGTGCCTCTTGTTCGTCTGTGTTCAAGGATTGTAGTCGGCTTATTCTTCCTTCGATTTCCAGTGCCATCCAATCGTAAAGTCCATGAGTGCTAGAGACACCATCTTGCTGTCATCTGCTCTCTTCTTAGCGTATGACCATGCCGTTTTTATCGAGCGAAAGAGAAGCCCAACGGAAAGGTGCTAGCATAGCACATATATGTGCATGGACGGACAAACAAACACAGGCCCAGAATTTTGTTGTATTCGTATGCCAAGACGCACAGGAGTTTAGGGAGAAGCATGACAGGGAGTCCTAGTACAACTAAACTATAGAGACCCTAAAACGTGCCATTCCTAGTTGGGAGTAAGGGAAGTGCTGGCGGCCTGTAGCAGCACCCAGCGGGTGGAATCTTGCGTGTGCCTTCACCGCTCCAAGGGACACATCTTTGGACGTTTGCAGCATATCAAGCATCTATGACTGCCCTGCATGCTAAGGTAGCATATGTTTAGTAAAAGTGTTTAGTACAAGAGACTGCGGCGCCCTTTCAATTCCATAAGCTGAAGAGCGCAGCTCAGGATCTGGAGGCTCCTGTTTAGGAAGCGTAGGGAAATTATACATTGATTGTTTAAGTTGGGAAATACACCAAGTTGGATACAAGGGCAAAAACCAAACAACCGGAAGCGGGTTTATCCTCTCCGGAAAGATTCGCATTCCGAATCTGATTTCGTGAATATAGAATAAAAAAAGAGGGAATCCCTGCTCCGCGAGGGTACCAGCCATCGGTAAAAGACTACCAGTGCAAGGACAAGACCTGAAGGCCTTCCAACACTGCGATGAAGCCGCCACCAATGTGCGACCATAGACGGAATTTTGTCTGCTTCTTTTGCAGAAGAAACTTTCAGTTACACCACTGGACCGCAACGTACTTACTGTACCAAGGTTGATGCTAACGAAACGACACATCCGTGCACTAGTCGCTTGAAAAATTATATCCATGATGCAGTTAAAGGGAGCGCACCTTTACCTGCAGCAAGGTGGTCACGCCATGCAAGCCATAAGTTTCCAGAGAGTAGGTAAGATTGCTAAACGCGTAGGCAATGTAACCCATAAGTCTGGCTCTCTTGATTCGCTGTCGGGGTACATATTCTGGAGGATATTTTCAGGGAGTGCAGGAAGTCCTGGAGTCTCACCGTCCTACGTCCCGGATAAAGTGTTGTTTATCCGTTGATGAACCACCATGATTTGATAGGCAGTACATATACGAGCTGAAAAGACTTAGTTGGAACACTATTGCCTTGTCGATGCACATTTGCAAAATTTGTTCCAGATGGTAGCCCAAGCATTAGGTGCACCTCCGTGCAGAACTAACAAATCCTATGTTATGCAAGACGGCCAGTACTTGCACGCTTTCGGTTGTTTGCACACCTGGTGATGATTGTGGTGAGGAACAGCTTTCTGCACCTGTGTTCTGCATAATACGTGCTCACCGCGCAGATCTCCTTGACATGACCTCTATACGATTGAAGCACTTTTATAGAGGATAGTAGTTCAACAGCTAAGCGAAAGGGTCTGTGCATCGGGTTACTAAAACGAATGGAAACCACAACTCTAGGCCTTGGGTATGAAACGTTGTGGAGAACGGGCGAACACGAGCCACAGTATACGGAGCATTTCGGAACCCACAGAAAGGCTCCTGAGAGGCGTGGAATGCAACACTTGCGTGAGCAAAAGGACATTTGCCTATTAGCACACTTCCATACTCGCACTTATTAAGGTGCCATGAGGAAAGTAGCCTTAATAAACGCTTTTCTGCTATCGTGCGTAAAACCAGGTCCAGCTACGAACTGCACACTGTACTGCCGCTTCCACTGCCAGCCATGTTTTGCTCCTCGAAAGACGCAGATCGCGATAGCACAAGTACCCGGACATGAAGGTGTGAAGATGCAATGGACAGGCAAATATATGTGGAACATGGCAGCACAGTAATCATACCCACTTGAGCCCTGATGCTCTTCTCCGAGGAACTGACCCTAATATCTTCCGTAGTTGTTCGACGTGGAATTTCGACTGAAGCCCCCGGCAGGCAGACGGTGCACATGGTTTCACAGACCGGAAAATGAAGGAAGGCAACACGATCTGAGGAATTCTATAGCCCGGCTGCAATTCATTAGCCCTTCTATTGTACCCGAACGCAATGCTCCTACCACCCTTCGTGTGTATACAACCCACAGTTGGTCTTACTAATATTGCTTGCAAATACCAGGGAGAGACCCGCGTTTACGATATTAAAGGGAAACTCCTCCCAAGTACCAGACACTGGGTGAAACACCTTGAAATCCACCACCAGTGCTGCATGTATGTTGTTTAGATGTTCTCGACCAGCCTCACGGCATCAGCCGAAATTCTTTGCATGAGTCTGAGAAGGGCACCGTCATGAAATTCACCAATGCTAGGTGGATAGGCAATGCACAGAACATGCACATCCTGGTGATAGCTGACATGATTAGGTCTATGCAACGTACGTCCTGTACAGTCCAAACTCTGCCAGATGTGTCACGCACTGCTTCACAACGTTGTGGAATATCAAATGCTCAACACCAGTTTAGTTAAATTTGTAGCTGATGCTCATGTTGACAGTGGTTCCCTCGTGCACCAGCCAACACATCCAGCCAGCCACACATGGGGTCAACAACCCGGGACAATGCAGCCTCCAGAGACTTACTAGGAACTAATTATGCGAGACGTTTGCTAGTCCCAAATAGGGTGCAGGCCCTAGCAGCCTTGCACCCATTTGACAAGCTTTACCATATTTCCACATAAATCTCCTCTGGATGTGCAGATACGGGTTTGTTGAGGAGGCATGGACATACTAGCTGAGCATTCCCCACGCTTCCTGTGCGTACGAGCAATTGCTATACGTATTTGCAGCCGACAGGCAGTTAACCGCAGAAGTCCAGCTACACCGGCAGAAGTCCAGCTACACCGGCGTACAACGACCTGCACCGGAACCAACAATTTAATTTGCATGGTCATAAAAAGCTTGGGTAGCTTTGATGGCGGGCTTATATAAATACTAAACGTTCAACGTACACCTTAAGGCCTGCACTGAATTGCTTCATCACCTTAAATAGCCTCTCAGCTGTGCTTAGACTCTGTGCATTCTCGTCATCCTTAGTTTAACACCAGGAAACTGGACGAACATCCTGCATATTCGTCGCCTCTCCCATCCGATGCTTAGCTGCTGCATACACATCATCAGGAGCGTAACTGTATCATCCAGAAGTTCTGAAACATGGAACGCTTGGATGGAGACGGGATGAGCAGTTGTGTCCACCATTAAGCATGCATGGAACAGCGGAAAACCAATAATTAGATTATCAGTGTCTGGATCGCTCAAAGGTTATGGCTTTAAATGTATTGTAGTGCCCAATATTATGAGCAGATGCAACTACAGGGAAGCCCGCAAATTGACAGAGAAGAAGGCAATCCACTGGATGAATATGTGAAATAACGTAATCAAGCAAACCCTTAGGCATATGCCACGCACTAACTAAGCAATTCTCAACCTTAAGAACTTCCCACTCATTTCTGCATAGATTGACAACAACAAAACCACTTGCAGCCAAAATGCTGTATTATTGTTAGATACAGCACCTGTGCTCTTTTGGCAAGCGACGACAGAGCTATCCTGCACGTATGGTTTCGCTAGGAAGCCCAAAGACAGCTGCGGTGCTGTGAAGCACAAACGTGCAGGGCAGAGCAGAATATCAACACTCACAAGCACGGGACACGGATTCTCCTAGAGGAAGGTTGTGGGCATTCGGAACCTCCTCCTTATATGGTGCACCCAGAAAGGGCTGGCGCGGTGCACACAATCATCGAAAAATGCTTATCTTGTAGAAGTGCAATGCAACTATATCCCAGGGTCTCCTGAGTTTCGATGGGACTTATTTAACGCACAGCCTGCTCGTTTCATAACTTTTCAAAAGTCTTTACAGTGCCGGTGCACATCCCTGGCAAACGTAAGGGCACTACGGGCCTTGTGCCTCGATTAAAAGGAGAACCTAAACTGCAGAAGTTGAAATAGCATCGTGTATAAAACATCCAATTAGTGCAAGCGATGGTGAACATAACAAGTAGTTCAAGGAAGGAGCATACACTGAACAAACTCAATCCCGGAGATGAAATCGGAGAAGAAAATAGCGAAACAGCTAAGTGTACACAACGAGTTGGTGGGGTCCTTCGAGCCCCAAATGCTGTCCCTAATCCACTGGCAAGCTTCCAACTATAGCGACATTCTTGCGGAGTGTTGTCAAACTGATCTCAATTGATTTAATAAGTCCCTCTAAGGTTTTACATTGTGAGCATCTGCCAA